ATTCACATATGTCCTGGGTCCTCTGGGAGTTAAAAACCTCTGTCTCCGTGGCTGCCTCCTTCTATTTCCTTTCTGCATTGAAGTTGAGAAACACTTGGCAACTACCTCTATCTGCAAGAATTATATAACTCTAACAAATTTCAAGAATCCATAGGACTCCTTTTGAAGGAGTGGCCCATTCACCCTACTGATATCAAGACACTAAGAAGAGATCATCTCACACAGGCTCAAGATATTCAGCCAGTCTGACACACAGCAGTCCTGAAGGACACCCCCCAACACACACACCTCCCAGATTATGATTCCTACTCCCAGTGACTGCCCTCACACATGTACCAATGTGACCTTGTGGGGACCGCTGAGACTCAGTCTGTTACAACTGGCATCAGTTGCCACAGGCAAGTCATCACAAGAACCTGACCTTCGTAAGCACATTTTACATTTGAGTGCTGTTCATCCGGGTGACACCAAGCGGGAAGCAGGGAGGCAGGATGACAGACAGAGACAGTGCCAGAGCATTCTGCCAGGCACTGCCCCCCACCCAACAGGCTGCCTTACCCACACAGAGGGACTAAGCCAACGATGCCAAATTTTTAAGCTGCTGCTGAGGATCCCATAAAAAGCAATGCTATTTCTAACTTCCCGCACTATGGAAAAATACACTCGCCACCAAACAACCCAAAATCTCTGAAAGGCTTATTTTTATACTCTTCCCCACGCTTCCCACCCATACCTCCCCCATAAAAATTTTAGGTGGAAAATTTGCTAGCTTTTTGGCAGTTTGACACTACTGTGCTAGGCATCCACTGATGAAGCTGCTAGCATGTTTGATTTTAAAGAGAAAAGTACAGGTCTTTTTCTGATACGACTCTGAACATCTGAATAAGAAATTAACATAGTCTAATAATAGAAGGGCAGAATCCAACACATAGGCAGAGAAAATATCCCAAGTTCCCAGGCCACAGACAGAAATGACAGAGGTAACAAGTTTCATTTCCCAGCCTCTAAAAGTGGTATTGCTGCCTGCTGGCCTTCTTTGCACTGTTGATTTTTCCTAAGTCAAACATGGCACACAGCATCCCTGATGAACTTGCTGAGTTTCAAATTTTCTGTGCCACTCTTAACCTTAAAGTTAAAGAATGAGGGGGAAGCAGTGAGATGGAAATCCAATCTAAGTCCCCTGATATTATGTAGATAAGGAGTGGGACAGGAGGGAGGGCCTTAATGAGGCCTAGAGAACCCAGAAACTCTTTCAGAAGTCAACGGGAACCCTGGAACTAAGATCTGTCCCAGGACCCACCCACTGGGAAGCGTGGCATACTTCCCTGATGACAACCTAGAAGGCCAGAGAGGCACCAGCCCACCACTGCCCAGCTTCTCACACAGATGGGGAGTCTTAGTGCAGCCTCTGAATGATCCTAACCTAACTGTAAGGCAGAGTTTAAATCCTTCTTCAACTTAGGGGACCCCCAATACAATATGATCGTTTACACCACAGTGCCAAATGTTTTTGTTTGATCACATTTTCACTGTTTAATCTATTTTATTGTACAATACGAAGGATACATCAAGAGAAAAATAAGCATTACTTTATCTACCAGTGTAGACAGTGGGGACCTTCACTCAAAGGTGACATTTCTCCTAGTGCTACTGATCCTCTTTGATTTACCTTAAAAGTTTAAAGTTAACACAAAGACAGGAAGTTCAGGTTGGAGATGCATCACCTGTACCTAAAGTAATTTTTTAATTGCTGGAGCTTCTCCCCACTGGGACCACAGGTTTTATGCTGAAAGATTTTCATATGGCTCCTTTGTCCTCACTATTCACTTCAGATCCCTTAAGGATCTTGGAAAAAAAAGAAAAGACAAACAGGATATTCCCCCATCTAAACCTTTCTTATCTGTCTGAGAGCCGACAGGTCTAAGTTTAAGGTTTTATTCTTCAATGAGGAGAACAGGAAATGGTGCAAAAAGCTTGAATTAATGATTTCTTCGCCTACATCCCTGCAGCTTTGTGCTCAGCTAAGTCACCAGCACCAGCACGCCACCACTCCTGGCTCCAGCAAGATGCCTCATGAAATTCATCAGCAAACTCCTTAGTCCTGAAAGAGGACAGAGAGAGCCACACCCCTACTCTCTCTCTCTTTCTCCGATCCTGTCAGCACATGGTCTCTGGGTAAGAGCTAGCATTTGGGTAGAAAACAATAACTGACATTTTATTGAGCTCCTACTGTGCATCAAATGCAGAATTAGGCACCTTTACAAGAATTCCACAAGATAAACATCATCCCATTTAAAGATGAGAAAAGCTGAGATTCAAACAGGGTTAGGACTTCCCAGAGTAGCAAAGTGGATAAAAGTGGCAAGGACAGGATTTGAGCCAAAGGCTGTGTTTCTGACTACACCTTACATATGTGGTATGGCAAAGAGGCATATATCTTCAGATTTATCACAGTCAAAATTTTAAAATACATTTAATACCACCCTAAACAAGGGAACCCAATCCCATTTTAAAACCTAGTTCAAAAAAATCCACTGTACAGGCACATTCTACAGTTAATGCAAAAATCCAGACCTCATTGGGCCTTCCCAGCCAAGCAGACAGAGCAGAGTGCTAATGCCACCTGTCCGTCTTATCAGCACTTAGGAACATGTCACCGCCCAGCTGTGAGCTTTAAGGGACAGAATTTTACAAGTAACAGAGCAAATATAAATTCCAAGACAGTCAACTGTAGGAACCTATTTTAGAGGTGTGAAAGTTCTTACAACACCTCAGAATCCAAGTATGAGCCTGAAAATGACCCAAGATGCACAAAGTGGCACTCAGTTCCCTCAACAGGAATCTGTTCTTTAACTGCTGTGATGTTCAAAAGGAGCAACGTAGCTTTGTATTTCATTTAAAATCCGTATACAGTAATGCAGTCAAGAAAAGTTTTCCATTACCAATTTTGAAAGTTGCTTAAAATAGCTGACAGAATGAGGTAACCCTCTATATAGTATGTGTATGAGGTGGTGGGGGAGGAGGGGGGATTGGGTACTTACATAATTTGCAATAATTATTTCTACTTTTGTCAAAACTTTGTAAATCAAGCTGCACAGTTCTTAGGAGCATAGTCCAGTGGTGTATTCAGATATGCAATAAAATTCCATTTGAAGATAGTTTTAGTTCCTGGTGCATAAAGTCAAAGAGCACAGTATCTGAGATGATAAAAGAGAAACTAAACTGTGCCCATACTCTTCTGGTAGAGATGAGCTGCCACCTCCCACTTTAAGCTGGTGGTAAGTGTGCCAAATTATAGAAGAAAAATAGTCCAACTCATCAACATTCACCAAGTCAGGGAGATAAGGGAGTCTCAAACACCATGCTATCCTGTAAAGTAATAAAGAATAACATGAATGAGAAGTACTTCATCAGTCACTGAACATTCATGAGGTGTACAGCCTGAAGGCTCCCTATGAAAGCTTACCATCCGCCCTGTGAGAACCCATCAAATAGGCTCCAAGTTTTCAGATACCTGATAGTGAAGTCCACTCAGAAAAGAAACACTTATGAACTGCACACGCTCAGCAATACACAGGAATTGCATCCAACACTGACTCAGAGTGTGGTTTTTACATACTGCATGCTTCTTAGCACCTACAATTTTCAGAAGGTTCCAAACTGTGCAAAGTCCATTTAAAGTCAAGGATCTGTGTGCCTCAGTGAGGGAGCACATTAAATCTCTCCAGATTCTCCAAGGAATCATCTATTCCCAACAGCAACCATAACTAAAAAGGCTAAAAGAACCTCCAGGGGGTACCTTCATCAATTTATTTCATTTGACAAAAGTTTTATTGAACTCGTATGTACCAGGAACTGTTTTAGGCCCTGGAGGAAAAAAAAAATAAGTGGGGGGGGGAGGAGATGTTTGCCCTTATAAAGCTTACAGTTTAATAAGGGATTTGATATAAACAATTACTTATACCTGGAAATTAAAAATTCAGGAAAAAGGTGCACCTTGTATTTTATAGAATTTCTTATTTTCCTGAAGACTCTCATATATTTCTTAATTCAATGTTCCCCACAGCCTGGCAGACCGTGAATCACTAAAACCACTTAAGAGTTGACAAAACAGAGGCACAGAGTGGTGACGAGGCATGTCTAGGGTGAAAAGCTGGTGGAGGGCAGCTGACACAGAGAAGGATGCTCCTGGCACCCTCCTGGTACCTTCTCTGAATGTTGCCCACAAAGGCTGGCTCTGAAATGGGCTTTGAGTCTGAGGGTGTCCAGAGATAACTAAAACACACAGGTGTCATCTAAGCTTCTATTTCCAGAAACCCCAAGGCCCAATCACTTAATCCCCACCCTAAAAAACAAACACACAGGCACACAAACATAAAACTAAATGCAGCAAATTAGGTCAACCCCCATTTCGTTGTACATACCACCTGTGCTACCTATTCAAAGAAAGAAAACCCTGCCCACTTGATATCACAAATAACTGAGAGAGAGAAAGGAACTGACATTTATTTGCTGTGTGCTATATTCCTAGTGCTGTATTAAGCATGGTGGCTCATTTCTTTCTCCTGGCAACCCCATTATTATCCCCTTTATGAAGTAAAAAACCAAGCAAAACAAAGAATTTAGAATGAGAAATAAAGAATCCCATTTCTCACCGATCTTAAATGTTTTTAAGTATCTGGGCATTAAATGTTCAGGCTCAGCAATAAATACAAGTTGAACAGTAAAATTATTTCGCTTCAGGTATTTTAATAAATCTAGAAAATTTTATATACATTCACAGCCCACTAAGAATATAATTGTGTATTAAACAAAGAATTCATATTTAATCTGATATCATGAAACTTTCCTCCTATCAGAAAAAGCTAACTTAGTAAGATAGTTTTTACACCTAGAAGTTGGTATAACTTCCTTGAGAACACCATCTCAGAGCGGTTAGTGCTGTGACAAGCTCTGCTTCACAAACATTATAAAAAAGAAGTGTCTTAAGTTCTACTTACCTTTTAAGCTGTATGAAAACTGATGTCAGTTCTTAAAACTGGTCCTATCAGGAGACAGCAGTTTGATTACAAATGTAGAGCTTAAACTGCTAAAAGGAAAAATAAAAAATTTCAGTGAACCATTCCTTGGTTTCTCTTAGTGCACCATCCCCTTCCCCAAGGTACAAAACATATTTGAACACTGTCACAATTAAAGGCACAAATACAAAAATGAATAAAATAAGAATACTAGGATAAGCATCAAATAACAAAGAGAAGGAAGATAGAATTATAGCAAAAAATCTGCGATAAGGGATGTGCCTGAGCGGGGGACAAAATCTATCAGCTCTCTAGAAGCCACAGGGGCACTGAGTTCTCATCTTCCAATCAAAGGATACATACTTGTTCCTCCAAGCACACAAGCCTTTTCTTCAATGAGGGGCCACAAACAAATAATGAATAATGTCCTTATTGGATTGGGGGGAAGGGGTTTATCATAAACTTGTTAAGTATGGCTAAAAGACCATTTTCTTTCTTAACAATCTGAATTATTGTTTGACCACACAGACCCACTCATCCCTAACTATAAAGGGAGGGAGGCCCAGCACCGCCTTTTTCCTCCTGGGAAACACATGTTTAATTTTGTGGGCACGACACCAGCCCCTGCTTAGTGAAGACCTAGCTAGGGTGATAACATCTGTGATTCTATCTACAAGACTGTCTTTATGCCTGCCCTCCACCCTATCGGTAGAACATCCTCCGTTTGGTGCTCCAGACTTTGTCCAGTCCCAGTTCACACACTCTGTCACCAGCATCCTCCTCCCAAATTGATGAGTATACTCTGTGTGCATCAAGCCATTCCAGGTAACATCAGGTGACCACCTCATGCCTTACTAAGCAGTTTCAGGTAAACTCAGTCAGCTCTGCCTCAGATACCAAAGCACATCTCAGTACCCAGCCTGCCAATGTGTAGGATTACACTCCTGTCCAAGGTTGAATAAGCCACCATCTGTCCAGTTTGTGTGCTGCAGTGTACTCTCCAGGACACTTGTCCCTCAAAGTGTGTTCCTGCCATATGTCACTCCTGAGTGAGCAGCCAATGCTAGGACATCCGGATGAAAACAAAAAGACTGTCCAGCCAGAGGATACTGTGAGATTCCCATGGAGGTCCACCCCAAACACATGACCCAAACACTTCGCTGTTTTTATGTAACTCCTTCCTAATCAATATAGTGAACCTACATATATTACTTTCTCCTCCTCTTGTCTACCTACCAAGAGAATAAAACAATCCACTTCAGATTTTCCAGATGATAGATTTTATTTCTCAACTGGGACTGCTCTCATCAGTCTTCTTAGGATTTAAATGCTTAGATTTCACAGGAACAGAAGTCAGTGGAATACCAAAAATATACTGTGGTGGGCAGAATTCTAAGGTGACTCCCAACAGGCCACACCTTTGTATAATCCCCTTCTCTTAAGTGTAGGCAGAATCTGTGACTTGCTTCTAACCAACAGACTATGGCAAAAGTAATGGGATGTAGTGTAACCCTTAATCAGGTTACACTATATAAGACTTCATTTC